CGGAATGATCACTGTTCCGACGATTTTCACACCGGAAAAAAAAAAAAACTCCTGAGTTTATCCATTGATCTTGATTTCACCAATCACGAAACTTCTCTCCGATGAAACCATTGATAGAAATAATTAAAAAAAAATACCAATAAAATCCTGAAATCCCCTCCTAGATTTAGTTGACTTGTAACAATAAAAGTAATAGAAAATAAACATGATTTAATAAGTATATATTTTTTATATTTTAATATTTAAATTAAAATATTATTAATAAAAAAATAATTATAATAAAAAACTTATTACTTGAAGATCAAGTAAAATTATTTATAATTTTTTAATATTTAGAGGATTATAATATATTATTATATATTATATTTGATGTTCAAATATTAATTAATGAATTATTAAATTAATAATAAATTATTTTATTTTATTTTATTTATGATTGTAGTTTATATTTAGGTCAGCTTATTAGAATACCTGATGAATCATATATATCATTGTTAGAAAATTAAACTACAATGATTTATTAAATATAATTTGATTATAAATAAGTATTAGAAATTAAATATTGAAATGTAATTTATATAAGAAATTATAATTTTAGATTTAGAAAAATCAAATAGAGACTTTATTAAATAGATTTATAAAATTATCTTGAAATAATATTAGATCTTTAATTAATAATTATAGTTTAACAAATTTTTCACCAATAATTTATATATATTATCATTAAAAATTAAATACTTAAATAATTTATAATTTATATCAACTTAGCTTTTGAGCAATTATATATATATATATATATATATATATATATATATATATATGTTCTTCAATTAAACAAAACTGTAAGTCTGAATTTGATGAAGAAAATCTTAAGACTAAAAAAAAAAAAAAAAACAACTTTCCGCTGCGTAGTGTTCCGGACAACCTAACAATCTCATGTGCCGTGACAGTGCAATTTAGACCTCGCCAGCTTGTTTGGAATTAGTTAGAGGGTGCCTGTGCTATGAATGATCAGTAACTCAACTAAAATAGTTGTTCGGGCCTCTCTTTTTTATCTGAAAAATTAAAAAATGTCTGCACGTGTAAATCAGCGGTGCACGTGTTTCTCTGTTCCATCTAAGAGATCTTATGTTCCATCCTCTCTGTATCAGAAAAAATAATTATGTGGCACGTGCATGTGTGTCGTCCCACAGTACCTCCGAAGCCCACTGCATCAAGATCACAACCAGTCGAGGGATACCAGCTTGCGTGCTCCTCCTGGGACTTACAGTTGAACATTGATAATTTGAAACAGACCCGATCCCATTAATTAAACATTCTTCAATAAAGTACATAACATTTTTCTAATAAATCACTGATCTAAAAACTATATAAACCGTTAACAAAAAAGAAAACACATGAAAAGAGTAGGATAGGATATCAAGCAAAAAAGAAAACACATGAAAAGAGTAGGAGATCAAGAAAGGAGACTTCTTTTCTGCAGACTACAACTAAGAGAGATGCATATATTTTCCTGAAAGAAATCAAGTTATTGAAGCTCATCGGCATCACGAGGAGGATGAGGATCGGAGCTGTTGTGGTGAATGGCAAAGATGTTATCCAATGTAAATATGAACACGAACTGCGATGAGAAAAATGGTTATGAGGCCAAAGAAGATAACGGTATGAACAAATATAGAGAGCCCACTGGTTTTCCTGTTGCAGAATTCTATCGCTCGGCTATTCCCTGGTAGCTGGAAAAGCAGTCCCGGTGTCAACAGAACAAACAGAACCAAAGCTACGAGCACTGGTCCCCAATCTCCCATTTCCCAGTCTTCTGAATTTCCTTTCCTTCTCTTAGCCCTCTATAGCTTACTCAGTAGGAGTGATGAGGATAGAGGAGTGATGCCGGAGATATGTGAGGAGTTATGGAATCCAGAGATAACAAGGCGAATGGGACTATAAAGACAGGATGGGAAAGAGTTACCTGAAGAAAGACAAAAGGGAAATAGCTTGGGAAACCTGGAAATCTGAAGGAAGAAGACAAAGTCAATATCTGGAAGAGGCCATTGGATTTGACGTTGCTTTTTTAGCTGTATCCCCATCGACGGCAGAGGATGTGGCCCTTCTATTTCCTCCGGACGGCTGTGAGAAATATTTAGATCTTTGGTTCGGCAATTTCATTATGTAGGTGTGTGATTTCCTCGTTAACATAAAACGCTGCTCGAAAACGAAAAACGCTGCTTAGTTATTCGGGTATCTTAAAATTTTCATGAGATGTGTTTGCCGGCTCATTTGGTTTTCAGTGAACAGTTTCTTCCAGTTGAGTACATTTTAAGGTTAAATAGTGGATCTTGAATCAGGAACTAACCAGGAATATGAATGGGAATACCTTAGGTTTTATCTAAATTCAATCAAGTATCCACTTCCATAAGGACATCTCCATTGGAATTTTTGTTTCATAAAAAATGATTTTTTTAAAATAATTTTTTATCAAAAAATACTTTTTTAGTAAAAAAAAAGAGAAGAAGCTTGATTTAAAAAAAATATTTTATTTTAAATAAAAAATATTTTATTATTAATCTCAATCCTCAATATTTTAATTAATATATATTTTATTTTGAATTTTTTTCAATCGTATCCCTTAAAACTTAATTTAATTTAATTTTTATACTAATTTTGATCTTTAATTTTTAATTATTATTTTTTTTATCTTATTCTTTTTTAATTGAAAATTTTTATATATAAGATTTTATCCATATTTTTTTAATTATTATTTATTTTATTTGAGATAATTTATAATATTTTTTAATTTTTTTTTTAATTTTTTATCTGTCAATTTGATTTTTATCTTTTTAATTGCTATTTATTTTATTTGAAAAAATTTATGAAATTGAGTTTTTTTTCAATTTCTTCCTCTAATTTTTTTTATTTATTAGATTTAGTTCTATTTTTTTAATAAACTAAAAAAAATAAAATATTAATAATTTATTTTTAGTCTATTTTTCACGACATAGTTAAAATCAAAAAATATTTTTCACTTATTTTTCATAACACTAATATATATATATATATATATATATATCAATTAATTTTCTAGGAATTAAATATATTTTTTTACGTAAAATGAAACTATTTTACAGCGGGCATTGGAAACAGGGAAATGGTTGTATTTCATCTGGAAAAGGCCCTTGTTTGATTAGAATAATGCACAGTATGCTGCACCATGTTCAAAAGCTTGTGTTCAACGGATCGATTTCATGCATAGGCATGCTCATCACCTTCTAACACGTTAATCTGCAGAGCTTGCCCTGTTTTCTTAAACCGACTCTACTAATGGGAATGATGCTATGATAGACTTTCTTGGAGGACAAATTGAGAGAGAGTCTAAAGAGCATTCCGAATCTCATTAGCAACTCAATTTTAAGGGTTGAGGAGTTCTGGTATTTGCAAGAGGCTTCTTTGTTGTTTGGATGCTTGTTTTTTTGCTGGTTTTCTCTTGATCAGTTCTGGTTGTTGCTTTTCTCTCTGTCTGCCCCTGTCCCGCTTTCTTTTGTTGGTGGCTATTCAAGGTGTTAGCAGGTCATCCGATTTTGTGGCTTGTCTTTTCCATATCATTTTGTTTTGTGATGGGGTTCTTAGTCTGTCATGAATGCTCGGTTTTACTTCTTCCGTTTTGGCTATAGGTCTTGCGATTCTGTAGGTGTGTTGTTCCCTTGTGTTTTGTGCGTTGGTTGCTAGTTATCTTATGTTTTTCCTGCTTCTGATATTATGTAGCAAGCTGTATCTCTTGTCATCAATTTGGTTTTCAAATTGATTTCATAATAACATGGTCTACTGGCTCTAAAAAAAGGAGATTGGATTATCATCATTTTTTTGCTGAAATGCGTAGATATTGATAGGTATTTTTGTCTGTAACTGAAAGGATAGACCAATTATATGTACTCCAGAGCCTATTCACACTTGTTCCTTGTGTCTCTGCCTACCCGAAGTGTCCAAGACAAAGCCATAACACCAACGGCTGGAGTCATGCAAAGGAAGCTTCAGAATAGCGATCAAGGAGACTGCTGCATGCCTTGCATAAGAAAGATAAACGAGACAACCAAGCATTTCAAGACCTTTACACATGCACCTGCCTGCCTGATTGTTTATCTTTCTTTCTTTTTTTTCCAAGGTTTATCTTCATCAATCTGTAAAGCAGGAAAAAAGAAGCCTTTAAGGGAGCAATTATTAGATGGCGGTGAAAGAAAACTTGTTTCTTTTCGACTTCATAAAGAAAACCCACTACAAACGCATACCTTTCCTCCCTTCATAACCCAACTCTCTTCTTTCTCAATAAGTTTCGCATCCCCACCTCCTTCGTCACCAAGAAAATTAGACTTATTCGTCCTCCTCCATATTTAAACCCACATCATTATCTTTTGTGACCAAACCAGCTTCAAGCAATACTCTGAAGTTTTACTCAATCCACGTTGAGAGAGATGAGTGCCGATTGGGGACCTGTTGTTGTTGCAGTGGTTTTGTTCATTGTCCTCTCACCAGGGCTATTGTTCCAGCTACCAGCAAGAACAAGAGTAGTAGAATTTGGGAACATGTACACAAGTGGGATTTCCATTCTAGTTCATGCTGTTATATACTTTTGCATAATCACCATCCTGATCATCGCAATAGGTATTCACATACATGCCAACTGATTAGAAAATTCCCTTATTTAAGTGGGAATGAGTAATCAATCAGAAACAGCCCAGGCGAAGGCCACTTTTATAGTTCTATATATATACTATTGTTTTCTTCCGTTCCCTTCTTAATTATACATGAGTTTCTTCTTTCTTTTATTCTGTATTAGCATTACTGTTTCATAATCTTCTCTGCCTCGTCTGGTCTGGTTGGCACCCACGTGTTCAGTATAGTTTAAATGCGAAACCTTAAGGTTTTTTTAGCAAGGTTTCATACTTGAATTGACATGATGCTTGATACTAGTAATATTCCTCTTTGTCCTATTGATTATTTATGTCTCAATATATCATAGAGTAAAGTGATGGATTCTGTTAATGAATAACACATATTCTAGCTGGGCAGCAAATACAACAGCACCATTTAGCATTTCCCTTTTCTTTTTTTCTTTAACAAGAACCCTCGGGCATTTAAATTGTGGGAAAGTCTTCATTGAGCCTTGAGATGCTAATTATGAGCTTTAAAGTTGAAATCTCCACAGCAACAAAACGATGGGGGATTTCTATGTACTGACTAAGATAAATCTTTCACCTTCCATACCTCCTACTTAACAGCGGGTCCCAGTAATGTGGAAATGATTGCACTGGTCAGCCAATCCAGTACTAAAACATCCGTGCTCCATTTCTCGTATTCAAATTAGCAGCCAAGGTTCTATTAAATCATGATCCACAACTATAAATAACCATCTTTCTTTTCCCACCAAGAAAGAAAGAAAAACAAAATAAAAAACGAGAGGGAAAAAAAGGGCACAAGCATAAAGAGATCTCCACCATCCAGCAACAACTTTGTCAAACAAGCTTACCAGTACAATATGAGTAATCAGCCAGTATAGATGTGAACATGAACAGCCAAGATGAGAACAGCATAGACAGCGAAAAAGATGAGAGTATGCACAGCTACAGCCATGCCATTCGTCTTCAAACTCCCAAACTCCACTTGTTTGCTGTTACCTGGTAACTGAAACAAAAGACCTGGTGTAAGCAACACAAACAGCACCACCCCTATTAACACTGGCCCCCAGTCTGCCATTTTATGTAGCTCCAAAGGATAAAGAGAAAAAAAAAATACAATTATGGGGATTTTCGGTTCTTTTGTAGTTTTTAAGAGAGGAGGTGACTTGGTTCAAAGCTCATCTTGAACGCGAGGCTATGGCGATAAGGATGGAAGTGAGGAGTTTTTTCTCTCTCTATCAAGCTTTCAGTTTGACACTTGGGGTATGGGAACTTGAAGGGAACATTGTGGTATTTGGTTTTAAGCCGACGTGCTTCCAAGCCTTTGTTAAATGGGAATCTTGTTGTTCATTAGATGACAAGAAATAAAAATATATTTGATTAAAGAAATAAATATAAAATAAGTTTATTTTAATATAATCTTAAGATAAAATCTTATATTACAAAATGACATCTCTCCCCTATCTCATTATGTTTGTTTTTCTTATCTCAATATGAGAATCAAATGCTAGAATTATTACAAATTAACTTATCAAGCCCTAAATAACGAGCACAGCTTGCTTAAAAGAAAAACAGTGTGGCTCTTTGGGTTGGTGCACGTCAAACTAGAACGAACGGCTGTCTCCTCCTTTTCTTTTCTTCTTTTTAAATCTCCAAAAGAAAAGACCAAGCCCATACCTGTTTATAACTTAAATATAGATAATCAATGGCATTGAAGATTGTTAAAATCGAAAAATGGCCCCCCCAGAGGTGCAATAAAAGCCATCAAAACGGCGATAAAGTAAACAATTTATGAGGTAATGTGCATTAGAAGATAATGAAAAGAATAAATTTAATAATTTTTTACATCAAACATTCTTTCAAAAACAGCCGAAAGGTTGAAATAATGACCACCTCGGTCGAAGCAAGAGAAGGGGACCTACACACGCTTTGATTATTCCTCAAGGTAAGCTTCTTTTGGAAAAGCTTGTAACATAGTGGAATACGAGTGCTGTAAAGAAAGGTGATGGTGCGGGTAACCATACTGCCACTTGGTCCTGCCATTGATAACAATCAATCAACTTATTGACATGAATAGAAAATGATGCTCTCCCTTATCCAGCAACTAGTTCAAAAAAGCTTACAAAGCGGGTGATTGAAAGGATAATCCATGCCCTAAGTTCATGGGAATCCTATTCCCTAAGGCAAGGACCCCGTTGCCCCTCTCGAGGAGCTGCAAGGAGCATGTATAATATTATAGCAACCAAAGCCTTTAACCTTTGCTTAATTCCCCTAGCTCCTCCTACTCTTTAGAGTTGAGGCACCTAGAGCTCAAAGGAAGGAAGGTTGAGAGATTTCTTGACGCTTAGGATGAACGACTGGGCTGCTTCTCTCATAGCTGCTGCTTTGTTTGCGTTTCTGTCACCAGGTTTGGTCATTCAAATGCCAGGGAAGGAACGACCCCTTGATTTCATGAATATGAAGACGAGTCTGGCTGCCATATTTGTTCATATGGTTATCTACGGTCTGCTTCTTGTTCTGTTACTCGTTATTCTTCACGTCCACCTTTATGTCTAGTCTGCCGGCAGTGTTGTAGTTCTCTTTCTTCTCTACTAGTAATAGGATTATAAAATCAGGTTGCTCTTCTCTTTTTAATTAGCATCATGTCGTGCACCATATGAAATCTGAATTTTGCCAAGGGGTAGAGAATCTCTGTGGTTTCTTTTTGTTCTTATGCATGTAGTCATCTCTGTCGTCTCTTTGAATTGAAAAAAAGAGATTACTTGTATGCAGGATGGTGTTCAGCATCATGATTATCCTGTAGGAAAGCAAGAGCAGCTTAATTACTGCAAAATTACTATACCCAAGTCAAGATTACTTTTTCATTAAAAAATGGTGATTATAGATCTCGACAAAATGGAAGTGGCCAAGAGGGAATTGGAGTATTTGACATTTTGAAGCACTTTTTGACTAAGAAAACATGATGCTGAAAACGCACTGTCTGATTCTCTGCAACCATACCAGTTTGATCTCCATTTAACAGAATCATCAGCTTGATCCAAGAACTGGTAGGTAGGTTATGTGGGGTTTTCTGAATTAGACACAGCACATATGATAAAAAATAAAAATAAAAAATCCCAAGAGTCATAAGAATACTATTAGAAAATTTAGATTAGTTTGGGTTTAAGTAAAGATTATATGAAAATCTGATTTTTTTTCTTTGATCAAATTCTTAAAAATTATATTGTCATAAATTACAAATTATTTAATTATTCTAATAATAATTTACACAAATCATTAATAAAAATTTAAAATTCTAAAACAAAAGGAAATCATCATGTCTTTGAATACTAACTTTTTTATTGTATTTTCAATTATACCATATATTTTGTAATATCTATAGAACTCTTTCACACACTATATGCTCTATAACATATTTTTTAAATTGATCACATCAGTTCTTATTCAAAGAATATGAGTTATAATATTCTAGTTATAATTAAAAAAATATAATAAATCTATAAATGAAAAAAATTAATTTTTCTCTTGAATAATATTACATATATTATTTCAAGATGATTTTAGAAATCTATTCATTCAAGCCCCAGATGATTTTAGAAATCTATTCATTCAAGCTCCTACTTGATTTTTGTACTTGATTTTTGTAAATGAAGAATTATAATTTATTGTATTAATTATATTTTAATCCTCAATTTCTACAACTTATTCACAATCAAATCACATTTGATTAATTATCTCAGTTTAATTTACGAACAATGGTTTTTAATATCTATAACTCATTAGATTCCTAATAAATTGGTTTAAATATAAATTATAATTATAATAAAAATAGAATTACATAAATTAAATAATTTAATTAATATCAATTCAACAATTAATTGATTTATATTTTAAGACCAAGTGCATTATCTAGCATCGTGTCATTAGCTCCTAAATATTAGTGAAGTCATATGTCATTTGACCTAATCTTTTAGTGATTAATTTCTTTGACCTAATCTTTTAGTGATCAATTTCTTTGACCTAATCTTTTAGTAATCAATTTCTTTGTATAATTATTATACTTTCATTATAAATATTCTGATTTAAGTATTATAATATAGAGTGTATTTATTCTCAACACCATACTTATTGATTATTTGAATAGGATTTAAAACTCTTTTTAAATTTTAGTCTACTTTACACAAGGATTTCACAATCAATATTTATTCGAGAATAGCTAGAATACTTTCCCTAATTCATATAGAATGATAAATCTCTTGATCACTCAAATACCTTCATATAATTCATGATATATTTAATATATATCTACCAGTTTATCACCCTTGATTAAGACAACATATAGTCAGAATCAAAGTATAACATTTTTTATATAGGATAATTTAGTGATTTCAAGTTTAAGAATCATTTACATAATTGTCATATGAGCATTTTCATATACATATGTGATTTCTTTATATATAATTCTCATATGGGTCAATTCAATATATGTGCATCTAACAAACATTTACATGTTAGTTCTATGTATTCCAGACACCTCAACTTATGCAAACAATTATTTCTTATCATAAAAAAAAATATAATATGTATCATTCTTCACACTTCAATTAATATTCAGTTTTAATAGAGAATCAATCAAGAATATTTAGGAACAATGCTTTATATATGTTATAGGAATCGCATAATTATAATAACTTTAAAATTCTCTTTGCAAAACAATTTTGTATCGAGCACTTAATTTTTACTTTAGACTCATTAAGCAAACATAAATAAATATTAAAGATAAAGAATAGTTTATAAATAATAAATATATTTTACACGAATAAAATTAGTATTACGTGTAATCAATCAATTAACTATAAAGCATATATCTCCTGATAGGTTATGATTATAATATCTAATAAACATTAAAAATGCCCAAATAAATAATACAGGATCTGACACTTCACATATTCATCTTGTTGCCATCTAACTAATAATAAAGTTAAAAATTTTAAAGCAAGTCATGGAATAATTAGGTTCTCACACGATGCATAAATAGTATTAGATCATTAATAAATGCTATATTACATGTCAGATTAAATAATTTTTTAAGGTAAAAAATTATTTAAGCATTGCTAACATATTTTTTATTAAAGAAATTAATTATGAACTTAAAATCTGATATATATTAGATTATATCCTTTTTAAATATTGAGATGATAACATATTAGATAAATATTTTTTCTTGAAATTTTAAGACAGTGATATATTGAGTTAATCTAAAGGGCTAACTTGTTAAATTCGTGACTTAGATCATAAGTAAAAAGTAAATCAAAAAATATTTGCTAACTCAATCATGAATTAATTAACATAGCGTTGCAAGATGAAATTGAAAAAACTATTTAATTAAAAAACCTCAAGTCAACTTGGATTAATTTGCTAAACTCGTAACTTAGATCATAAAAATAAGATATTCTCATAGAAAACAAATAAAAAAAAATTATAGAACCAAATTCTTAAACCATTTAATGTTTATGGATGAGATTGAGAAAAATCAATTAAAAAGGAATAAAAAATGGCATGATCTAACCTAGTTTAACTCATCAAATTTACGACTTAAATTATGAGATTAGAATAACTTCATAAAAAAATTAAAAAAATTATGAAACTTAATTTTGTCAAATCTAATATTAAGAGTTGAAATTAAAAGAAACAATTAAATTTATGAGACTAAAATAATCTCATATAAAATAAATTAAATAGATTAAAGAAATATTTGCAAAGTCTAATTCTTAAATAAGGATGGAATTGAATAAAAAAAGATTTATCGGGGAGAAGACATTGAAAAATATAGAAAACAAAGTATAGTTGAATAAATATTATTTTATGTACGTGTTTGTTCAATAAAAAAACAAACTAAAAAAAATTGGTATGAATCGTTTCTAGCCAGGGGATCCTTCGGTCTCTTTCACTCTCTAATCTCCTCCATCCAGGCTCGTCTGTAATTGATTCAGTTAGGAAATCCAACTTGCAATCACACAGCACACATAGAACTCCATTTACATCTTTTCAATGGATTAAGTACAAATATTTGCCACACGAATCAAGTTAAAAGAACATTTACTTCAAACAAAAACCCAAAAAACAAAAAAAAGAGCAGATTTATTACAACATGTTACAGACGTCACATCTCCGTGTCAAAAGCAGATCCGCAATCGAGGGCTATGAACCAACATACATGTGAACACCAACAGCAAGCAAGAAGATGCAAATGAGAGCGAAGTAGAGGATGGAGTGAACCAGTATGGAAACTCCGCTAGTTTTGAAGTTGCCAAATTCTATGAATCGGTTATG